TGCCTGACACCCACAGCTTAAAGGAGGAGAGGTTTATTTTGACTGGTGGTTACAACCCATGGTCACCTGGCTCTGAGACAGAGACAACATGGCAGAAGGGTGGAAGGGCAGAAACAGCACGAGGCAGGGGAAAGCTGCTCTCATCATGGCAGCCAGGAAGCAGAGAGAGAACAGAGGGGTGGGGAAGGGAGAGACGCCTCTCTAGGCCACCATCCCACCTTGTGACTTGCCTCTAACGAGGCCTTACCTCCTAGGAGCACATGAGCTACAGCCTCCCATGTTTCAGGCACCTTCCAAGAGCCGCGCTTCTGGTGTGTGAGAGTTTTAGGGGTCATTCATCATTCTTTCTTTTGTATATCCTTTTATTGGTACATTTTAGGTCTACAATATAATGACATCCATCACTGGAAATATGCACCTTTACATAATCTCTCTTGGTTCGTATTTTTTCCCCCTTCCCCTACCCTCCCTTCAACCCCTCCATCCCTCCCTATTTACAAAGACTTTGTTTCCTTTTTTTCATTTTCTTATATTAATTCCATTCTTAGGGGTCATTCTTGATCTACACTATAACAAGGTGTGTTTATTATATTTCTTACAGATTTCTTAGTAGTTATGCCTCTCTAGCAGGCTCTGTTTCTCTCTTATTCTTGTTTTTTCTATCTCTTCCCTTTCCTGGTATAGAATCCTGAGACAAGATAGTTAGAAATAATCAGGATTCCAAAATGTCTTAATATATTTTCTGTTGTTACAACAGAGTACCTGCAACTGAGAAATTTATAAAGGAAAGAGGCTTATTAGAATAATTGATTCATAGGATTATGGAGGAAGTCCCAGAACAGGCTGTGGGCTGAATAATCAGATAAGCTGGTAACGGGGCTCAGTTCCAATTGAGAGGCATCTGAACCAGAGAAACTGACATGCAGTTCCCTTTGCTGAGGCTCAAGGCCCGAGGACCCCTGCTGCAAGTCCCATAATCCAAAGGCCAAGGAGCTCTGCAGTCCAAGTGCAGGATAAGAGCATCCCACTCCAGTAAAGAAAGAGCATGGGAGCTCCCTTCTTCTGTGTTTTCACTTTCCACCTGGGCCCCCAGCCTACATGAAGGTGCCCATCCATTAGAAGACAGTCTTCTCCACTGATTCACATGCTAACATTGCCTGGAAACACAGAAGTACCCAGAAAGAGTGTTTCACCTGCCATCTAGATATCCCTTAACTCAGTCACACAGACACCAGAAGTTAACCATCACACAAGGCCAGAAATAATAATAATGTGATGAGTGAGAAGTGATGTTTACTATCACAAGCAGTGGGTACATAGTTGGGTACTTAGTTGGGAATGGTGGGGGTAGGAGAGACAGCGAGACATTCCTGTATTGTATTTATACATACTTTCATCACAACATTTAGCATTTTGCTTTGTCATTCATTGCCTGTATGTCCTTATAGACAATAGACTTCAAGTTTGAGGGGAGAGAGGAATTGTGATAATCTCTGAGATCACAGGTCTAGCAAGTACCATTGATTTCACATGGCCGCTAAATGAGTCCACAGACTATAAGATTTCCAGGTGATTTGTTTGCAGATTTGAGCCAACTAAGAAATAGGGATGGAAGGCTCTAAACACCTTGAATATTCAGGATACTCAGAACTCTAAATTAGGAACGTCCTTTGAGTTTGTCACTCTATCCATTGCATAAGCCCTTGTGGCCTTTCCTATATCTAATGCCGAGCTTAGCTGGATGGCCCACTGGAAGTGGACTTTTTAGAAGCAATTCCAGAGGGAGGGAAGTGCAAGATCAAGGTTTGGACAGACTTGGTGTGTCATGTGGGCTGCTTTCTGCTTCCAAAATGGTACCATGTTGCTGAATCCTCCAGAGGAGCAGAACACTGTGTCCTCACACCACAGAGCCAGGGGAGGGAGGGAACCCATTCCTTGAGCCCATCCATGAGGTTCTACCTCCATGACTTAATCACGTCCTGAAGGCCCTACCTCATAACACTATCATATTAGTGATTAAAAGTTTCAACATATACATTCTGAGGAATTCAGACTAGAACAGCTGGGAAATAATTTCAGAGCAGTAAGTTCATTCTTTCAGTGGTTTGCAGTTAAATCCTTGTACCTTGACTCCAGCTGCTCCATGCTGCATCTTTGAGTGATCAAAACTAGGAGTAAGGTATTAGGAAGCTGTCTTGTAGACTTAACCATCAACGCGACTGAGCATGTCCTGAGGAAATGCCTGTGTTAGCCAACCCCCACTGGGGTTTTATATCTATGGATAAAAGAAGGTAAGCCTGGGACACATCAAAGTAATATATATCCCCCCAAGGCCCTGGTTCTTTGAGCTGTGATGGGAGTAGCAGTTTTCTCAAAACCTCCACTCAAACATCTTAGGTTCTACATGAGAGGAAGTCTTTGCCACCTCCTCTTTTTCCTTCACAAGGAAGATGAACATATTTCTCCAACCTCTTCATCCATTCCTTCACCAGTGAGCGGTACTGTGATAGGTGCTGGGGATCCAAGGGTGAAGACTGTGGCACCCATTCTTCAAGTCCCTGAGGATAAATCACATCCCTGATTCTGGACATGATATAGGCTGATGGTCATCAAACGTTTTCTGTAAAGGGACAAGTAGTAAATATTTTATGTTTTGGGGCCAGAGGATCACTGTTGCTGCTCCTCCACTTTGCTGCTGGGCAAGAGCAGTGCAGATGATTGCAACACAGATTCGTGATCTGCACACAGCTGAGTGTGGTCTCATTCCAGTAAAGTTTTGTTCCTAGATGTTGAAATGTGAACTTCAAATAATTTTCATGTATTGTGTGATACCACTCTTCTTTTGTTTATTTTTCCCAAAGTATTTGTGAATGGGGCAACCATTCTTGCTTGCAGGCTGTAAAAAAAGTGGGCTGCAGTGAGCGGGAGCCATAGGTTACCAGCCCTGATAGAAAACATAATCACGGATAGTTTAGATGGGGACTTCCCCAGTACAGCTCTTGTTCACCCTAAGAGGAGAGCCAGCCAACAGGAGAAGTGTAATTCGGCCTGTCCTCTTCTTCTACTTCTCTCCACCTCCTGACCCCAGCTCTCGCTCCAAAGGTCTTTCTACGAAATAGAAATCTTTCTCTGAGTTTATGGTACTGCTGGGGACATCTGGGTGCTTATTTTCCTGAGAGCAAATGCAAGTGACTCCAGTGACTATGTGGTCTTGAAACAGTTTAATTGGGTGTATTATTTTCTTTATTCTCTTTTCCTTTCTCCATATTAGACATTAACATAAAAATTCCTCCTGGCTAAATTCCCAATGCATTTTCACAGTGAGAATTTTCTGAAGTGAAAATTAGTAGCTTCCTGGCCCTTTTTATCAGGGATGTGACATTGTACATCTCACAGGGGTGGAGAACCCACCCCATTTATGAATGAACACACGCTGGTGAGGGTATCACACTCTCTGTACAGTGGCAGGGAACTGTTTGTACAGAATCCTAAGCATCTAAACAGTGTACCTGAATTTGCTTTCTCATTCTACCAGTGAGAGGATACCACTTTCTATTTGAAAAAAAATGAATTAATATGGAACAAGTAGCGCTTCTATAGGATGACATTATTTACATCATCCTGAGGGACTGACCGCACCTGGGGCAAAGTATGTCTCTTTCTCAGTCTTTCCCCTCCCTCCAATTTTTATCCAGGTGAAATCTAATTATTGTGAGCATTAAGGGCAACCTCAAAAGGGACCCACAGTCCGGGGTGGGAGAGTAAACATATGGGGAAAGGACCGATCCTGCCTCTCCCTAGCCCCAGCCATCTGGTTCCCATGGCAGCTTTGAATTCTTCAGTCTCATGCTCTGAGATACTGAACTAGCATTGCATTCTTTTTCCATTCCCTCCCGCCTCCAGTGGTGTCTCTTGGTATAGGAAATTTGACTTCTGTAGCAACTTACAGGAGTAGCGGGGGAAAGAAATCTTATTACAACTGTTAAAACTACATAGTTTTTGGACTCAGACAGATCTGGGTTTGAATCCTAAATTTTCCACTTAGAGACTTCAGGTAATATAATGAACTCTTTTGTGTCTGAGTTTGAATGGCTATGAAATGGAGGAGAAATCCCATTTCAGGGAGTAGAGATGAGGATTAAATGAGATAATGGACAGTGGGGAAGTGCTCCATAAAAGTGTGATAGGAGCACTTACTAAGTACTCAATAAAAATCCTACCACTTACAAGACATTTCTTTGCCTTCATTCTTTTGCTCCAAACATTTGTTGAATTGCTGCTCACTTCTGAAAACACAGGCGAACACATCCCATTGAGAAAATAGAGAAGCTCACGTCTGAGTGGAAAAGGCAGGCCCTCCCTACACCGGCAGGTGCAGTGCAGATGGGGGAGTATAAGACAGATGTGTGTTCAAGCCGGTGGGCACACAAGCCAGGCCATCCCTGGCAAGGATCTCAAGCTGACCAGAAGATGCCAAAGCGGGCAGGGTCCAAGCTGAGTGTTAAAGAATAGACAGACATTTCCCTGATAGTCGAGGGTGGAATTGTATTCCCAGTGGAGGGAGCTTATCCCAAGAGCTCGGTTTGGCTGGTGTCTCAGGTAAGAGGGGAAGAGCGGTCCTAGAGATAGTGACGCCGGACCCTGGAGGCAAATGATGAAGTAAGTGCCTTGCACGTCATGCTAAGGAAATTGGGCTCTGCCATGCCCAGCTGGCCCCCATGATAAGGGGCAAAGCAGAACGCCATTAAAGAGGGAGCACTGTGCTGCTGGGCCAACCAGAGCAGAGCTCCAGAGAGCACAGTCACCCTGTGGTGCCTGCGTGATCATGGCCCCCAGCACAAGGCCTGACTGAGCAAGAAGGGGTCATGTGGACCCAGCGCCAAGGGCGCCCCTACCCAGGCCTTCTTACTACATCCAGGCTGCTTCCTCCCGGATGGTCTTGGGTCCCACTTAGGTCCCAATTAGCGCTTCCCTGGTGCCCTTTACTGGGCAACTGAAGATCTTCCATCTCTGAAGTCAGGGCCTGCTAGAGGGAGGCCTTGGCTAGGACCAAAGATTGGGCTTTCCCAAGGAGGAAGGGCGTCCATGGCCAGGCCCTCAGATGCAGAAACAAATCAGGAGCCATATTGAGATAGGAGGCCTTTTTCTGTCCTCTGAACTTGCTAGCAGCGGCTGTTTTAGGACTGGGAACCATGGCATTTCGCTGTAGCTGTCCCTGTTCCTCACCTGCAGTCACCATCAGTGTTTCCTTCCCCGGGGCCCAGCAGGAAGCACGCAGGCCACAGCTGTGTGCATGCGTGTGTTTGTGTGTGTGTGTGTGTGTGTGTTCGCGTGTTTGTGTTTGCAGATTACGGTGCCTGGGGAACCCGCGTCCCAGAGCAACACAGAGGGGCCAGGGCTGGGTCTCCTCCCACACTGCGGCCCAGAAATCCAGGTGGAAGTTGGCTTCGTTTTACGGCTTCCCGGGGCTCAGCTCCAGCCGCGCCTCTGCGCCCGCCCGCACCCCGGCTCAGCCTCAGCTCCTCCCTTGGCAACCAGCGGCGGTGGATCCCGGGGCCCGGCCGCAGCGCGAAGCCACCCGCCGCACCTGCCGCGATCCCAAAAGGGATCCTGCAAAAATGAGCCTTTCTCACCCCGCTGGGTAAGTGACAACTGGAGCTCTTCCGCGGCGGCAGGTGGCGACTCCAGCTCCCCCCCTCCCCGGGGGCGCAGGGCCAGGGCGAGCGGGGAGCAGGGGGCGGGCTGGGGACGGGGACTCAGATCAAGAAATCAAGCGGATTCCGGGTCGCAGCGAGGATGGTAGGGATCCTGGGCATCGTGCCTCCTCCTTACCCAACCCTGCTTCTTCCACCCTTGTTCGTCCCTTCTGAAATTCTCAGCCTGGGGGGACAAAAAAAGATGGATGTGAAAAACGCATACATTAAGCAGAGACATTAGCCAGTCACGAAGAAGATCCTATGGTGGGGAACATATGTGTTTCACTGCGAAGCTGGAGGTTACCAAAATACCAATTCCTTGGCAGAGTGGGCTGGATAAATTCCCACCATAGCAGCTTGTGCAGGAAGGGGCGGAGGATTGATTCAGGTAGGAGGGAGGCCGGGAGGTTGGGAGGGAGGCCCCTTACCTCAGAACTTTTATCTTCCCAATATCAAAAGGCCCACGGGGGTCTTGTAGAAGGATTTTGACCAGCAGAGTCACATGACACTAGAAAGAAGGGGGAGGACAGGGCTGAGTGTCCGCGTTTACTCATGATCTCCCCTCCGACCTCTCTTGGGAAGGGGATACCTCCGAACACCTGTTTTGGCAGTAGTCAGCATATTCTACAAAGTTAACACAGCCGTTATTGGCTATTGCCCCCTCCCAATTAAAAAAACCTCTCTATTCTTTTATTGCAAAGAAGAATATCGAATTTCCTTCCAAATTAAGCAGTGTGATGCATATGAGATAGGTTTTTATTATGATACATCTAGTAAGCAGATAAATGTCCTAGTTGATCTTACAACTCATTTGAAAATGCTTTCCTTTTTAATTGCATTTATTGCACATTTTCGAAAGCAGCAAATTAGCAGAGGACAACATATTTAAGATCATTTGGAGTTTGTGATGTCTGAATTACTACATTAGTCGTTCTTGAGCTATATAGTCAAACTTGAAGATTTTGCTTTCTAATGAGTTCTCCCAATGCAATGACATAAATGAAAATGTTTGAAAAAGCTAAGGCCCTAGCAAGTGCCATGTTGGAAGTCAGTTTCAGAACTTTTTGGAAAATGATGAAGTGATGGCTAAGTAAGCTTCATATTTTATCTTAAACTGAATTTAGGTTAGGCACATCAGTGTTTTGAAGCTGAATTCATGTGCAATTTTAGTTGGCCATGGGTCATATGAGATGTAAATAGAACTATTTTTTTCTGCAGCTGCTGTTTGCAGGATGTCTGCATTTAGGAAAATGAACGTGTCAGTCATGGTTGTCTTCCTGTTTTTCAAGTTTTTGGCTAAGTTGGAATCTGATTAGACCATTTAATCATCTATTTTAAAATGTGGAAAAACCTGAAGCTGCTTATTAAATTGGGCATGATTAAGATTTCAGATACTGAAGTCAAATTTTTCTGAAGTTCTATTAGTTCCAAACACATGGGGAAAAGGAAAATTTGTGAGTTAATGAAAGTGTATGCTTTGGGATACTCTTCGAGTAAGATGTGAAGATGGCAACAAATATTTTGCACTACAATGCTAAATTCCTGTAGAGTGAGCACTATGTCCTAGTCATCCTTGTTTCCCTTGCACCTGCGACAGTGTGCAGAAGATGGTAAAACTCAGCAATTGTTGAATGAATACCATCTGGTGGTGTTTTCAGCTTCATTCACATTTGAAAACCATGTTTGAGCTTAGCACTTATTAATTGCTTATCATGTGCCAGGCTCCATGCTAACATTCTACATGAAATATTTCATTGACTCCTCCCATGCACTGCATAAAGCAGGGTCTAGCTGCCCTCATTTTCACAGATGAGGAAGCTGAGGACTGTAAAGTTTCAAAACGAGGCCCAGCTAGGCAGAGTCAGGCTGGGACACAGAGCCAGGCCATGCAGCTTCAGATCTGGTGCCCACTGAATCATACCTCATGGTCAATAGCTGGGGATACATGTGTGGGACCCCAAGTACATGTACATTCTTAACTACATCATGTGATGATGCATATCTGTATGTAACTACCTAACCTATCATGATATAATCAGAGAATAATTTTGTAGTAGTGTATATATGGCTGTGCTTTTTGTTTCACTCATCAAAAATAAATGAAAATAAGAAGCATAAATGTAATAAATCTAAATGCCTTCAAATTCACCCAGAACAAAATGATTCAAATTGCTAAAGTTTTCCCCCAAATAAAAGTAGTGATTATTTTTCTTGCCTGTGTTACCATTTGGAAATAATAAACGTTTCAGTAGCAAATAAAAGGTTTCATTAAAGCTGAGGCTTTTCCATCATTACTGAAACCGTTTGTACTTACTACATTTTAAGAATAAAATGGTAATAAAGTGCAGTTGTACAATAAAACAAATTTTAGATCCCTGAAATTCTACCAATCGATAAGTCATGTTCTGACGGTTTCTCTCAGTGTTTCCTCTAAGTTCCTTTGCTTATTTAATTACATCAGGAAGCACTGGATGTAAAACTGCAAAGGACTGGTGCTGGCTTTGTTCAGATTTCGGAGTAAATAAAAATGGTCTTAAAAAACTTCTGCCAAAGATAATAGAGACTTTGAAACCGAGCTGCATTGTAATTTGGGGAAGTCAACTATAAAATACAGTTTCCAGCACTCCCATCTCTAATGAAATTGTTTTAAAGTGGAAAATTTCAATTGAGAGTCCCTCCAGTTTGCTGAATTGCACCCGCCGTGCTGTTTGCATGTGCACCAGTTCTAGAGGCGGAATGAGGATTTTATTCCCCTCAGTCATGCATGAGGATGAAATGACACGGCTCTCGGGCTCCTTCTAAGGAGCATCAGTGAAGCCGTGTGAAGTTGGCTGCCTCTGAAGGACTCAGAGGAGAGATAGTCACACTCAGCTGTGAATTTCCTTTGAGGAATGGAGAATGAGAGCATTATCGTTCATGACAAGAAAAAAAAAAGGGAAGTGTATGTTTTGAAGGATTGTTCAAAGGTTTAGGAGCTTTCTTGTTTAGACATATTGGTATACACTTTTTTAATGTAAAGAAGGGTTTCTGTAGTGGCAGAGAACACTGGAGTGCGGTAAGGAAAGAATGAGCACACCTTTGTCACTTCCTCTACCCTAGTCCTACCAAATTTATCTCTTTACCACAGAATTTAAGACATGAAAATATTAAATATTGGAATTCAAATTGGGTGCTTTCTCTGTATCCCCCTGTTTAATATTAGCCAATTAACTGTAAGGGTAAATTCATTCTAGTTAAATAATGTGCATTCAATACCTCATTTGTCATGGCCTTTTCTCTGATTATTTTATATTATAGATTCTGCTCTTTTTAAGGTAGATGCCATGTCTATCTTTGACTTAACACGCTTATTTTTATATGTAGATGGGGATGGTGAGGATTTTGTTCCAGCAGTGACACAATTCTTTACACTCCTTCTGAGATACGTATTAAAAATCACATAGTGATCTGTCACCAAAGAGTTTTCAATGAACTTTTGATAATTTAATTAGTTCCTTCCACAGTAATGTTCAAAGCAAAGGACTGGGAACTATCTGACTTGCAACCAGATTCTTTGTCCAGTCACCAAAGCCAATGACTGCATCAATATCTAGATAATGCTTCAAATTGACCCTTTGCTTCTCAGACGTTTTTCCGAGTTCAGTGCACCCTAATAAAATATCAGATGCAAAAGGTGTGTCTTTGTTCTGCAAAATCAGAAAGATAATTATAAAATGGTGCACTGGCACGTGCCTGTGACCCCAGAACTCGGGGGTAACAAGGCAGGACAGAGCCCGGCCTGTGCGATTTAGTGACCTGGCAAGATCCTATCTCAAAACAAAACCCAGAAAGCTCAATGCAAAAGCCCTGGGTTCAATCTCTAGTACTGGAAAAAAAAAAGAACTAAAAAGGACAAATTAACTCCTTGCCTATATACTACACCCTAATGTAGGAGAGGTGGCTCAGTGCCAAGGCCTTGGGTTTAATCCTCCTACTGGAAGAATCAAACTGTAGAAGGGGAAGAGGGAATTGAGTGAGGAGAAATCAGCATGACCAGAAATGTATTTTCAGGAAGATCAGTTTTGAAAGAATATAGAGGAAACTTGAGGAGTAGAATTAATTCTATTAAAAATTATCCTTTCCTGAGTTTCCCTAGGAGTCTTTGGGTATCCCCAGTGGTGTAAATATCCTGGTTTTCTAGACTTCTAATTTAGAGAACAAGGAGCCATCAGATGAGGTCTTCTGCAGCATTCCAGTTTCTTTCTGTGATTCTTTACTGAGGAAAAACATTGTCAACTAGGAGGAGAAGTGGAGACTTCCCAAGTTGCTTAGATTATTAAGAACTGCACTATAGTTTTTCAGGGAGATGGGAAAACACAACTACTGTGACTCAGTTCTAAAGCCAGCCCCAGATAATCTGAAACTGTGCTAAAGGCTGTAAATTTTTGAGACTTTGCATTTTTAGAAATATCATTTTCGGACGAACACTTCACATAAAGGAGGAGAGGTTTATTCTGGCTCACAGTTTCAGGTGGTTGGCTGGCTCCAAGGCAGAAAGGGCACGGTGAATGCACATGGTAGAGGAAAGCTGCTCATCTCATGCAGGCAGGAAGAAGAAAGAGAGGGGAGAAGCCAGGGACAAAGAATGTCACATTCCGAGTGACCTGCCTCTTCCAGCCAGGCCCCACTTCCGGCAGGATCAGGTTTCTGTTTTCCATAACTAGACAACAGAAATTTCTGTGGTTTAAGCTATGTGCTGCCTCATCATGGTAACCCTGCAAAACTAATGCCACCTGTTACTTGGCCCTGCAAAAGCTTAAGATGGTCTTTAAGAGAAATGCAGGGCCATGGAAAATCAATGGTTTGTTTATTTATAATAACTTGGGAATCATAGATGTCTTAGGCCAACCAGGCTGTTAAAATGCCGTTGACTGTGTGATGTACAAACAGAAATTCATTCATACAG